GGGTTGAAAATTAGGCTGTATAATTACAGCGCCATGGAGACAAAGTAAGAAATGTGAAGTTGGGTTTTTAATTCTAAAACATAGATTCAAATTCAATTGCTTAGTTAGTCAATGTGCACTGACAACCACATGATCCATGAGTTGGGAAGGATGTGTATTAATGTATAGAGTATAGACAAAGAAATAACAAAAGAATGCAGACAAATAAGAGATGGTTTTGAAACCAAAAATAAAATTATAAATATATATTGAATCAATTAGTCGAAGGATAATAACTAGTTCAAGTTGTTGCTATTGTTTGTTTTTCTTTAATCTCCTCTCTCTAATTTTCACTGCAGGCAGTTGTAAATTTGTGTTCTCTCTCTGTCATGGTTTCTCAATAGGATAGAAGGAGGGAGAAGAGATCATCTGCTCAGCTGCATGAAAAATGGACGTCCTTTGCTTTGTCACCGGAGTAGGGAATGAGAATGCTTCAATATGGAATTAAGAGGCTGATTTCCTTGAGCTCTACACAGCAGATTCTTTACCTTCGATGTCATCTGCTTTCAAAATAAATAATAATAATAATAAAGGAGAAGCAATTATTTAATTAATCTCACTTTCGTTAATATTAATCATGAATGATATTAACTATTAACTAAGATTTTAAATGCTAAACCTTTTCCAAACTCCCCCTTGACGCATATGGAACCGCTCTCTGATATCCAATCGAAGCAGTGGGTGGAGACTTCCGGCTAGTTTCTTCTCTGCATAACGATTTCCCATTGCTTCTGCTTCGCGTTGTGATCGTTGAAGAGCCACGGCAGTTGCCATTTAGCAGGCTAGGGAGGCTTGCTTCCTAAGGTGTTACAAATTAAAAAGTTTAATTAAAGGCTAATTAAAAGTTTTATTCATCAACCGGGGGAAAAAAAAATAGACGTGGTCTTGTGGGAAGTACCAAAAATAGCACAGTTGCGCAGTTCTTGAGGACCTCCAAGTTCATTCTAACGTCTTCAAGGCTCCTATAAATGTTTTGAGGAATTATATAAACAACCAAACATGAATTTCTTCTGATATACCCCAATAATAGTATATAGTAACTATAAATGTGATTCCCCACCTGTGCTTTTGCTGCCCAAGCTTGAAGTAAGATGCCAAAGTTGCCATCTGAACAAATGAAAATCAAGTAAGATTGTTTTTGCAGCCAAAAATTACAGTTTGGTTTAGGGTTTAATAATTAATTGTAACATTTATATATACCTTCATATTACCAGCTCTTCTGCCAAACTTGTCAGTTAACACCCCTAAAGAATCAATCATCCCAACCGGAATAGGAGCAGGCCTGCCAATCTCCGCAAAGGCCTCCTTAATCCGAATGCAATCGAATCTTCGGATGTTGTGGCCTGCCCACACCCTACCATTCAAAATG